GTTGATCAAAGAAATAGCAAAGAAGTGTGCTACTTTTATGGTGGATTTCGCCGCACGGTTCCGTAGGAATATCATCATTCCTCGACCAGAAAATATCACAATTACAGAGAAACAAGACCTAAAAACGCAATGGATATGAAGACCTGAGAAATATGATTTACTGTGTCTTGAAGTGTGGCTTCGACGCTTTTAAAATCGCAGTGAACAAAGTTGTTACACTCCAAAGATTTCCGGCGAAAGGACATCTGCGGAGAGCTGGTGATGTTGTTCTTGCACTGCCGCCATACTGTTACTACATAGCATCATCTGTACTGTTAATCTTGAAAAAACGCAACGATTACGACGTGGAAGCCGACAATGTTCTAAGAATATTTTGGGTTTCGGTCGTACTAAATAACTGTCAATGAACATTTGAGACTTTGCAATGGAGTAAGGAGGTAACTGGGATTTTAAATCTATTTTCTCAGTTAAGTCTCTAAGTCGTGAGGAGTTGCGTGACTCGCTTTTGCTCATTCTGGCCCATTCAACAGCGCGTACGTGTCCGAGATTTCTAGCCATGGAATGACCTTTAAAGCCACAAATGTAAGTTTTCGCACAGCAGGAAGATCAACTGAAGCAGGAAGAAGGGCACCCCGGTATGTAAGTGGTATCTTACTCTGACTGGTTTTAAGTTTTACACCTATCCAAAATGCCTTCAGTTCAACGACAATTGGTGCTAAAATTGTATTAAGTGACTTGGGCTCTTTGCTCATTTCTGGCACAATTCCTGCAACAATAATGTTCTCCCATTTGAACCGCTGTTCTCTTGGAAGGTTTAACAGGACTAAGTAAATAACCCCCACAGATCTGTCACTTCGCCTCTTAAACGGCTGAAACCAGTCTACATTGATCGCAAATGCAAGGTTTCTGCGTGCATTCAGAAAGTCATTTCCTCTATACTTTAGAAAGTCTCTCCAGATGCTGCCATCACAAACATCTGCCACAATGCTGTCATCTGCTTGATTTTCACGCCACTCTTCAGATATTTCAGGAACTCCTGGCCTTTTAAGCAATCCCTCAAGTTGATCAATCACTCTGTTAAAACAGTAAATTTTGTGTGGATAAAAACACACTTTACCACTGCCTAAGATCACTTTTCTTGCCAATACTGTTCCACACTCACTGACAAGGCCTTTGTTGAATGGTCTGTGGCTACGGATATTTGTAACAACCTGACCTCCAATTAGCCTCGTACAGCTCTCCAGCTTGTAAAGTGATGCACATTTTGGGCAGACTGCAAATTTGACAAAGTCATCACGCTTCAAGTTTCCAAACTTCCGAAGTAGGTACAGTGATGTTGGTAGAATAAGGGCCATTTGAGAAATGTATTCACTACTGTAATTGATCCCTATTACATGCAAAAACTGGAACATAAAACGTAACAACCACTCCAGACCATTATCACTTATCTTGCACTTCTGCTTCCACAAGAGCAAAGAAAGGTAAACAAGAGGTACAGAGAAATCTATGCAGGAAGCAAGGAAGAATGAGAGATGTAAGTTGTCCTGATGTTATATATATATATATATACATAACTGCAGACAGTACTGTTTCGGCCTTCTGGGCCTCATCAGTGCAGTGCTAATGCTAGGATGGGGGAGAACCGAGACGGCTTCGACCCGGTCGTCAATACGTAGTTTCTTCGTGATTGCTTTGGCTGCAGCGTCAGTTTTTCTGAGTTGCTTGCTGTCAGCTTTCTTGTATGTTTTGGTGATGTTGTCGTTCAGGAGTTGATTATACTTCGTGGCCTCTAGCTTGTAAAAATTGGTAGATTTGTCCGCTTTAACGAATAAGCGATTTTCGTTTTTAATCAACTTGATGTCTTCATTCAGCTCTTTCTGAAACTGGCATTTCGTATTCTTGAATTGGACGCTTTGGATTAATCGTTGCATGCCGTCCTCAAAGTCGCGCAGCTCTTCGATGACCGGCGGGCAGTTGTTTGTCTTGAAGCCGAAAGTTTCTTTCTCTAGGNCACCGCATCATTCCGCCACGCTAAACACAGAAACTCTACCGAACTCAGCAAGCACATCTGGACCCTCAAAGACAACAACATCGATCACTTTATTTCCTGGCGCATTCTCTCATCGCACTCACCGTATAACAGCTCAACTAAAAGATGTAACCTCTGCCTCAAAGAAAAATTCCTAATCATCTGCCGGCCCGAACTATCAACACTAAACAAACGTAATGAACTCGTGTCTTCATGCCGCCACAGAAGCAAAGCCCTCCTACGCAACAACTAAACTGTCAATTTCGCGCTGCATAAATTAGACTAGTTAGATCATGCAAATTATATTGTATATAAGCAATGGTAAAGTTTATTCTCATTAAATCCCCTGATGAGTGGGCGACCACGAAACAGGCTTGTAGGGATGAACTTGTAGTTTACTTGTCTTTTTCCTCCCACAATATATACTTCGCTCTACTTCTATGTATTGAGCACTGTTCTACGAAAATCAAGTCACACTTTATATATATATATATGTAAATCTTGTCAGACTTTTCAGCAAGTAGAACTGTTGAATTTCCTTTAAGTCTTTCGTTAATTAAGTGACCTTGTAAGGCAAGTCAAACTGAAAATAACAACGGATAAAGTGTCTAATTGTTGTTATGGTAATTTAGTATTCATTTCGTTTTGGCTGTTACTTATGTGTAAAGGAATACAGTTAGATTACAAAATTTATTTTATCATCCTGTGCATGATGAGTTAATTCTTTTGAGTTGACTCAAAATCAAGACTTACAAACTTGAAAGATATGAGTTGTTTAGTAGGGGTTGCATTATTGTTTTTGGGTGTGATACTTCATTTGAGGGCAAAACTGATGATTATTTCTACCTATACAATGCACTCATTAAGAGAGATGCCTTTTTAAGCAATTACAGTCATAGATCAGATAATGAATCCATTTACTTCTATGTATCTCTAGTTTGATATTACATTAACTAACTTTTGTGCTGTTGCTTTGATTGCCTAGAAAATTCAGAAGAGACTTGCTACTTTGCGAAATATGCCTTGGTCAGAGGAAACAAAGACCATAATGGTACTGGCTGTGGGAAGCCTCACCTACACCAGCTCAGAAGAATCAGATTTTTCTGAGGATGAGGATGGGGAAAGGTACTTTACTGGGTACCTAGTAAAACAGTTGCCTTGGGAAAGGTCAAAGCTGACAAAGGCCAAGAAGGCCGTTGATGATGCCGTAATCCCAGTGCTAGGGTGAATGTGGTAATGAGATGGGCTCATGTGAGGCCATCGACGCGACCCCGGCCCATCGGAGGTCTGGAATGGGCAGACGGTTAGATCTGAGGAGCCAGTTGACAGTCCCAGCACTCTGCCTCTGGAAATCACAGATCCATTCCCTAGCATTCGGCCGACAATAACAGCAACTCAGTCACAGAGAGCCTGTTCTACAAGAGTAATTCCTCCTACTCCGGCCCATCCTTTTACAAGTGCCAGTCCTACGAGAATGGCCCCCTTATACTTCAGCACCCGTCATTCCACATCAACAACTCCTCCTACCAGTACCAGATCTCAAGCAATGGCTACCCTATCCTATAGCACCTGTCAAACAACAGTGGCTCCCCCCAACAGGACAACCCCATCCCCAAGTACACAGCCTTCAACTCCAGCTACATCCTTGATGCAAGGTTCTACTTTAATGCCAAGGACTTCAAAAAAGAAAAGTACTAATTCTCGAAAGAACAGTGCCCGCAGACGATCGCCAGTTTATTAATTTAATTAGGTTTGCCCATATGTATTTTTTGGAACAAGATTTTCAATTTTTGCAACATTTGTTTTCCATAGCGATATGAGGCTAATATTTTCAATTTCAAATGTTAATGTTAATACAGTTGTTAAGTGATAGTAGAACAATGTTTTCAATTTCTATTTTTCTTTTGACACCATTATAAGTGATTTCAGAGCAAGCTTTTCTCTGCAGCTACGCAATTGTCTGAGTCTTTTTCTGACAGATGGGGGATCATTTGTTCATTCCAAATACAGAATACCCTAATTTGTTTTACTAATACGAACACAAATAACATTTTAACAACGCATTATAATCATACATGCTTTGGTTCTTCACGTACATGACGAAATGCCATGTGTAAACATGCTTGAAAGCCTTGCAGTGAATACTTCAGGTGGTGAAGTGAATGTTGTATGGTAAGACATAATGGAAAAAGTGCAACAATACAAAACAAAACAGCTAAAGTATCTTGTGAAATCAGTGTAAGAGCTTTCACCATGTACTAAGAGTTGCTTACATGAAAATCACTGAACATAAACATTCATTCATCTTGAACAAATTTTGCAAACACTTGAAAAATTGCCCCAAAATATCAATTTTTTCATTAACTATTTCTTGAAATTTCTGCATTTTCCTTTCCTCCTTTTCTTCCTTCCTTTCAACAAGCTCTTTAAACAGAGATACCAATTCACTTCTTTCACTTGGAGGTTTTATTTCTTGTTTTTTTCTTTTGTATTTCCTGTCCTTCGCGTTACTCACTTTCTGTACCCTTTGAATCTACTGATTTAGCTTCGTTTTCTTGGTTTTGCGCTTGAGAACGTTTAACCAGACCTTTCCTACTGCTATACACAAATGTTAGTGTTTCATTGTCATTACCATGAATATGTTGTTAAGTTCTTCATTCTTAAATACTTAAATACTTAAATACTTCATTCTTAAATTCTTTGCATTTCTTCCTGATTTCTTGTTGTGATCAGTGCATGCACTATATGATCATTTGAGATTCTTGATCTTGGTCTCGCAAGACTTGCATCACTAGAACAATATCCATGTGCCTACATGTCAAGGGAAATATCAGGCCAAATGTCCTTGTTCCTTACTCTTGGATTCTTGAAATCATCTTTTTTCTTTGCATATATTTCAGTCAAACAAATCACTTCCCCTTTTAGCCACATTTTCTTTCCTTTTCTTTTCCTGACTCAATTCTGTCATTACTACTGCTACTTGCTGACTTAAGCCATATATACGAACTACTTAGGTGCAAACTGACCAGAGACCGATCGAAGACACGTCTTCCCACACTGCACAGTTAGTGATTCTTGTAATGCTGTTTTCTCTCCCCTTAACCGGTTGTTTTCATTTCTAAGATCACGCACCTTGATATAATTATAATATGATAAATACACTTTAAATTGATACCGAGGGCCCGTTTCCAACTTGTCAAGAAGTGATGTAGTTGCCTTTCACCATAGTTACTAGCTTGGTCCAGGACCTAAAGTTAACCTGTGGGCAAGTGCAAAATGGTGTTTACTCATAGGATGGAAATGGCCATTAAAGATCCAAGAAATTTGAATTACACACTTCATTGGAATGGGTTTCAGCCATTCCATGGAAAGTATGATCATGGCTCTGGAGCTTTAGAGTTTCCAGATTGGTAACATTGTAAAGAGGACAGACAAACAATGTGAGATTTTTGTCGTTGGTTTTAAACCAACATATTTACTGCCAGGACGAAGACTATTAGCTCTTGATCAATTTTTGTTGCCCCTCGTTCAAGAATTTGAAGATCGCTTTAAAAATGGGTTTGAGGTAGATTATTATGCGGACTATTCTGCCCGGCTAAACTAAGCCATATTATTTTGTTGGCCACTGGAGATCATGTTGATTTTTGCAAAATATGCAAAGCATCATTTTGTGGGAAGAATTCTTGCCGCCGTTGTAAATGTGGCAGCACCTTCATACCTTCGAGCAACCACTGTGACTATTATTATGGAGGATACCGGAAATGGACAAAATACCCTTTGCTAAAGCGTAACATTGATGATGAACTCATAACGCTGTCAACCATCGAAGGTAAAGAAAGGAAAACAGTAGCAAAAGAAATGGCTAAAGAAGTAGGATTTACTGTAATTAAAGGAAGAAGGTTGCATGTGATGTTTCATTTTACCTTCTCATTGTGTCCAAGAAAAATTATGTCTAAAAGTACACCTCCTTCATCAGCCGGGGCGGTGGGTTTGGCCAGTGCGGTTGAAATTTGTTTTGGTCCAAATGGCTCTGGTTAATATCGAGAGTCATTTAGTTTAAGTCGATCGTTCGTTCACTAAAGGAAATATCACATCTCCTGCAGGTGTGAGAATAGCTACTGCAAGAGTGAGAATAGCTACTGCTGGTGCTCCTTCTAGAAGTCGTAGTAACAAAAAGAGAATGGGTCGAGTTTAGTCCACGCGAATCAAGAAGAATTACGAAGACAATTGGAACTTTTAATAAATGATAAGGGACAGACAGCCGCAGGAAGTCGCACTGTCGTTATCAAGCCTACCAACACTCTTAGCATCATTTATAACGGAAGACGGTGGACGTACTTCTAGTAGTGTGTGCAACTAGAAAAGAGAATGGTGTTTACAAAGAAAAGACGAACAGGACGACGGCCAAGAGCTCAAAGTGGGGATATTGTTCCGGCTTTTGTCGTGATGTGCACGACGATTCAGACAGTTGGGTCAAAAGGCAGTCTTGTCCACATGAGTTTACATCCTAAAAAGTTGTTAAATGGACGAAAAAAAAAAATGAAACATTACATGGAGAAGGTGCAACTGAAAAGATTTGGTAAAAGAAACCGAGAAAAAAAACTTTTAGTAAAGAAAGAACAACTGTCGAGTGGGTTCTACAGTTCTCTATTTGATTTTTTACACTCCAAATGTATGATTTGTTTTTTTTTGTTTTTTGAAGGAAATCGTCATCGCCTTTCAGGAAAACTCAGTCAGATGAAAATCCAGATCAATATGGATGACATTAATCCAAAGGATACCAAACTCGAGCGACTCTGTAAGTATATTTTCTATTTTTCATCCTATGAGGCGATGAATCGTAGTAAACTTTTTTCACATTTAGAATATCGTCATTACACCCAAGTACTTTTAAGATGTGTCTCACTTATTTTTTTAAAGAAGATTGTCATCGCGTTCAGACAACTGAGCCAGACGAAAGTCCAAATCAATATGGATGACATCGAGCTCGAACAACTCCTTAAGTATATTTTGCATTTTTCCATCCTGTGAGTCGATGAATCGTGGTAAACAAGAATTGCCTTGCAAACAATGATGTTTATTTGTGCAAAAGAATCAGAAGAGGCATGGCTTTGCAGTTATACTTTCAAGGAATGTTACCACCATTGCCTCCAAAATTTTGAAATTGCACTGTATAAAAATTATATATTTCTCTTTTCGATTATTTTCAGAACCATGTTGTTTCATCTGTCTGGGAGATGAAGATCCTCTAGAAATCACCCCGTGCTGCAAGCAGTTCATTCATAAAGAAAATGCTTCAAAGAGTGGTTTGTAAGACAACTGGAAAACCAGTTCGAGATTTCTTGTCCTTATCGTAAAAAAATCTGTTCCGCCAGTTTTCTTTCATTCCCTCGGTAATCGCCTGGTTAGTTGTTGCCACCTTTTGGCAAAAATGAACCGTGGTGGAAAGACAGAGGGAAGACGAGGCTCGTGAATGGGACGTGACCACAGGATATTAGGAGGATCCAGCTCTCGTCAGGGCCATAGAAAGTCGTCCTTCAGTTCCTCCAACGGTCAATTTGATAGAAATACACAAAATCGCTTTCATATTTATCATATTGAGAAGGCCGCTTTGTCAATTTTTAGCTTCTACGAAAGGCGTGGTCCTCCACAATTTAAATTTTTCTCTAAACAATTTGTATAGCCTTTATTTATTTTGGGCGCTCTCTTCTGGAGAGAGCACACGTCCCACATGTAATAAGATTTTTTCGAAAAATAAAGAATTTGTTGTGGTTGATATTACTTTCGAGTGTATTTGTGTGTGAACCCAAACCAAACTCATTTTTCTCGAAAAGAATGAGGGGAAAAAAGATAGCTAAAAAGAGTTGTGTGATTGGTCATTTCCGGTAACCCCAAGCGTTTGCGTGACCCCTCCAACACCTGTAGATGACAGTTCAAGTTAATTTAGAAATAAACCACGCTTTCAATAGGTTTACCAGCTGATAAACCACGTAGGATGTTGGGAGATCTGTCGAAACGTTTGCAACCCACTCGGCTGCACCTCGTGGTTCACAAACATAAATATGATTGAAGTTTGTCAAAGAGAATGATGAATTTAATCTTGTTCTGTGATCAAGTCACTGATTCTCAGAAAAACTATCAAAAACTGCGTTAAACCAACGAAAGCGCTGGAAACTGAATGAACTGTCAGCTAGAAGAAACTGAGCAGAAATTGTTTAAAAAAAAAAACTAACGAGAAATGGCGATATCCAAGATAAAGGCACAAGCTATAAAGTGGTATTGAGGAATACTTCAGTTGGACAGAGAAAACGCGCTTTTTGGTGACCAGAGTTGGCCTACCTCTGCGATAACGATCTGATAATCTGTACGGAAAGATTTTAGAGTTTGCAACCCAGAAAGCAGTAAGATGTAGAAAGCCTTTATGGGCTTCAAAACGGCTCGCCGTTTTAAATGTCCTTAGGTACTCCTGCTCATATTTTTTGTATTTCGTGGAAAATAGATCGCGATTGATCTCAGACCATAATGATTCAAATTCTCGTTCCCCAAAAACTCTTCCAAATCATGATATTTTAACAAAAGCGTAAAAAATGGTTCAAAGATGGAGTGCGATTGATCTCAATCGATGATTCAACTCTCATTTTGTAATTTCTGAACAGCTGCGTAAAATTATTATAACACGTGATAATGATTTAGACTATAAATAATAAATTGGTAAATCAACCATTTCAGTGCCTGAACCCCAATATCTTGCAGGGCTTATCGAGTCCTTTCGAAGATAAGTTGGACCATAAAAAAGGTTACGGTCAGGGTAGGCTAAGCCTTTTAACTTTTGGAATGCCTTTACACGTAAATAGCTCATTAGTTTGAGCAAGATTTCTGAGATTTATCCCGTCTGAAGAAGAGCTACTTTCCTCATTTTAGTACCGTAAGATGGTTTGGTAGACGCTGACTCACTTATAATGGATTAAGCGTTGTCGTCTCAGAGTCAGATATGCAAGAAATTTCTACGCTCTCAGTCGTCGGGAACATTGTTGTGAGTCATAATTTTTGATTGCAAACGCTGCGTCTTTACCTTATGGAAGGGACAAAGGAAAGATTCCCAAACAAACGGGATCAGGCGAGTTCAACTTTTGTCTTAGAGAAAAAATTCTTAGAAACTTAGTGTTTAGAAAAATTATCCTTGCATTTCTCAGAATTGCTACTTATACATGCACCGAGCAAATGTGTTGTCATGGAGAAGTGAATTTCTTAGAAATACTTGAACTATGCAAAGTCATTTGCATATGTTAATAATATGCCCCGGAGACATGTCATTAGGAATATAAAGGACCACGTTGGGGCTTCCCCTCACATTCTACTCTAGATTTTAGTTGATCTGATTTTCATTGAGGTTTGGAAGTAGAATCGAAGGCTTAATACAATCAAGTGATGTATTCAATCTCATGTTGGACTGGCATTCCGAGTTCCAAACAAAAATGGGATTTAGACAAAAGCTTTAGAAATGAAAACATGATCAGCAGCTTGGCTGAGCAATAAAATTAACTCCCTTGTGAAGTACACTCTGAAGGTATCTCTGTAAATGGAATGTTGTCGCCTTCAGTACGTCAGTGCGTTGAGGAAAAACTGTGTCTGAAAATTCCAAGAGGATTAAATTTACACATGAATTACAATATTAGTGAGAACTTTGTTCAATCCCACAAATACGCGTAGACATAATAATCAAGAACTAGTCTATTGTTCCAGCAGTTTTCGATTGCATAACAAAGCCTATTGTTATCAATATAATTTCAATATATCAACGAAGTTGAAATGGTAAATTGGTCACCGTTACGATTATAAAAGCTGACGTTTCGAGCGTTAGCCCATTCGCTCCGACGAAGGGCTAACGCCCGAAACGTCAGCTTTTATAATCGTAACGGTGGCCAATTTACCATTTCAACTTTATTGAAATTATTTCGTTACCCCCACCCACGCAGCCCTAAACAGTTTCTTTAGAAACTATCAGCCTTTATTGTTATCAATGTTGAGCACTTTTCTTGGTACGATTAACACATGATGGAGTCCACAGGACTTTTCTTTATTAACGGTGTAATAACCATGCGATAGAACATAATATTTTGATAGAATACACAGGACTTCTATTTTTCCTCGTAACAGGTGGAATAACCACATTTCTGGTAAAACACGAGTAGTCAAAACGAATCTGACAAACAAGGTCCAGCTCGACTAATCGTTTAAATAGAAAATTTTCTATTTTTCCTTAGTCGCTCAATGGCTACCCTTTCGCAGTTAAGAGAGGAAGTCCGTCTTCCAGATCAGGGATGGTCAGAGTGGGAGAAAGCTATGGTCGCCCAAGATGACCAGAGCAGCAATCTTGAAGAACGTGGAGAAAATCATGTTGGATTCTTTTGCTCGAGCATACGATCCGCGTTCCCTGGAGAGGCACAGCGCTTCGGAATTTATGAGTGGCGAGCCAAGGGTACCAAGTACGGACAACCCAATCACGTCGTTTATGTAGGATGTACTTGTAGAGGTAACAACAGATCCTTAGGAGGGGAAATTCTTGAATACTGCAGGAACGGATTGCACAAAGGCGCACTCATTAATGATGCGTTGGCCAGAGGTTATGAGTTATGGATTCGTGTTAAGATCGCAGAAAGTGACGAGCCCAGGAAGTATGCGGAAGAGATGCAAAACGAACTTTTAGCTCAGTACAATTATGCATGGAACATTAGAAACAACGCCATACGTGATTTACTGCGGCCGTAAACAGTTAGCAAGGCAATTAAAAAAATAAAAGTTTGTGAAAAGTTGCTATGTGCCTGCGTGATATGAAAATCTTCTTATCTTCTTCGAAACAACGACATCGATAGGTTAGAAATTTACGTTTTGCAGTGAACCAAAACTAGTAGGAGAAATTACTTTCCTCCT